GCCCTCTGCCAGCTTGTGACCATTATTTCTAGTCAGTCCTGGCAGTGCTCGGGGGAACAGGGACTCCTCAATGCCTCCTGGTCCCCGCGACTAGTTCGTAACAGGTCACTAGAACCCCTTCTCAGCCTTCTCTTGGGAAGGCTGAACAGATTCAGGTCCTGTAGCCTCTCCTCATAGGATCTGCCCTGCTGTCCCCTGATCATGCACATGGCCCTCCTCTGGACCCTCTCCATGCTGTCCACATCTCTCCTGACATGCGGCGCCCAGAACTGGACGCAGTACTCCAACTGCAGCCTGACCAGTGTCGCACAGAGGGGAGGATCACCTCCTTGACCTGCTCGAGACGCAACTGTGGATGCACGACAAGGTGCGGTTGACCTTCCTGACCACGTCCCCACACTGTCAGCCCACATTCATTTTGGTATCAACAATGACTCCAAAATCCTTTTCTGCCTCTGCGCTGATGAGAAGGGAGCTCCCCAGCCTGGAGGAATGCTTCTGGTTCTTCCTCCCCAGATGCAGCACCTTGCACTTGTCAGTATTGAAACTCGTCCTGTTCTCATCCGCCCACTCCTGTAACCTGTCTAGGTCTGATTGCAGCCTATTCCTCCCTTCTAGCGTGCTCACTTCTCCCCACATCTTAGTGTCATCTGTGAATTTGATCAGGGTGCTTTTTACACCCCCTCGTCCAAGTCGCTGATGAAGATGTTGAACAGTGCGGGCCCAAGGACCGAGCCCTGGGGGACCCCACTGCCCACATCCCTCCAGGTCGAAAATGACCCGTCCACCACCACTTTCTGGGTGCGGCCCTCCAGCCAGTTAGCTACCCATCTGACTGTGTAGGCATCGACACCACAGTCCCTGAGTTATTTAATGAGAATGGGGTGAGAGACAGTGTTGAAGGCCTTCCTGAAGTCCAGAAAGACTACGGCCACTGCTACCCCTGTGTCTAAGGATTTTGTGACCTGGTCGTAGAAGGCCACCAGGTTGGTCTGACAGGACCTGCCTCGAATGAACCCATGTTGGTTGCCTCTGAGCATAACCTTCCCTGCCGGCCCCTCGTGGATATGCACCAGGATAACTCTCTCCTAAAGCTTCCCCAGGCCTATAGTTTGAAGACTCCAGCAGGGAAGCCGGCAGCAGAGCCAGTGAAGGCTGCAGCAGGGAAGCTGGTAGCAGAGCCAGTGAAAGCTCCAGCAGGGAAGCCAGCAGCGGAGGCGGTGAAGGCTCCAGCAGGGAAGCCGGTAGCAGAGCTGGTGAAGGCTCTGGCAGAGGCGCCGTCAGGAAAGCTGGTGAAGGTACCGGCAGAGGCGCCGTCAGGAGAGCCGACAAAGGCACTGGTAGAGGTGCCATCAGAAGAGCCGGTGAAGGCACCAGCAGAGGAATCAACAGGGAAGCCAGCAATAGAGCCGGCATCAGCAGAGAAGCTGGCAGCTGGATCAATTGGCAAGCTGGCAGAGAGTTTGGCAGGGAAGTTGACTGGCTAACCCGACGCATGGGGGGTA